TTTACTTTCGTTTTATTGTGAAAGTGATTCTAATTATTGAATATTCAATTGATGTAATCTGGTAGTTATGTGGGAGGTCTGGTTGTAGTTCATTGCGAAAGTTATTTTTGTTATATGATTCTTTTTTACGCGAGATCAGTTAAAATAACATAAGATATTTTGTAAGATCATTTTGTTATTTTCAAATTTTAATAGGCATATGAGACCACTGGAGGATGATCCGTTACGCTTACTATATTTCTGTCATTGGATTTTCTCTATTTGTTCAACTACGTGATTATCTTTGTTGATTGAAGGGCCCTTGATTGACTGTGCTCATGTATTACGTGAGAAAGAGTGCATATTTAGTTGATTGTTGAATAACATCGCTTCTAAAGTATATGAGAAATTAAATACGGAGGATTTAAATGTGGGTTTAAAAATAATAAAACCTTGACGTGGCAAAAAAGTGCAACTAGCGTAATTTGAGAGAGTACTTTAGTAAATTATTGTAGTTACTCGAGAGAGAATTTTAATGAGTGAAGTACCCATGATCAATAGAAAATTTACGCGAAATTATAGTTAACGTAGCAGAAGGGACTTCTACATTTGGAGAAATCACAACCCTAGGCTTCCATAATCTTGTTCAGAAGTTTAAGTTTATTTCGTGAGAATTTTATTACTTGCCACTACTGCGTAACACAATCAAGAAATCATTATTTTCTACTTTAAGAGTTGACTGCGTGAATTCTTGCGATAAAGTCATAGTTAATAGGTTAATTCTATGCGAGATACAATGACCGCTAATCCTTTTATTAAACGAGTTGGACGTGATCAAAAACTCTATCACTCTTACTCTAAGGAAAAAAAACACGGTTGTAAAAGAACGGTTCTAGTGTTAAATTGTATTTATGTTTTTATGATGTTAATTTCTTTGATTTTTAAATTTATATTTACTTATTTAAACTCGCATACATACTTTTACATATTTAAACTTTAAAAAAATTCAAATTTAACGCCAGAAAAGTTTTTAACAAAGGGAAAAAAATTGAATATCTAAATGAAAGAATGTCATATATAAATGGGATGAGCCAAGAGGGAATACATTTTCGCAAAACACCATTTTATATCAAAGCTAGAAATAAATCTCTAAAAGGATTTGAATATTCATAACAAAGTTATAAATTATAGAAAATGGCTTCCTGACCAGTTAAACTTGTAGGGCTTTTAAAAGGGAATAGATGAATTTTAAACTTTCTCATTTGAACACTCAAACTCATTATTCCCTTAACTAATAAACACATATGACCATTGACCCTACGCGCGTGTATTACACATACACAGACGTGTCCATCCAGTTAACAAATAACCAATGGATTTGTTACATGTCAAGGGCGTGAAAACAAAACCCAGTTGATCGGGGTCCCCCCCCCCCCTCTTTTATTCCATAGATCGACCAAAAGTCACTCATTTTCCCTCTTACCTCGCTCTAACCAAACCCTCCCCTCTTAAACCTAGGTTAGTAATAGCCTGAAAAATCAGTCACCCCTTCCAAAATCGATCATAATCACTCATCATTATTCGCCTTTTCGTTTATTATCTGTTAATCTCGTTCTGATCAAGCTTCGTTTGGTTGTGCTTTCGATTCTAGTGACATTATAAAATCTGAAGGTTAGTTTGTCTCTTTTGATGTCGTTTTCTCTTCTCATATGTTTTCTTGAATTAATGTAAGATAGTCAGCTATATTTCATCTGCATGCACAAATTATTTATTATTTGGAATTTTAAATTAAGGTTTTTGGGGAAAACAATCGAATCTTAGCTTTACTTTAGGGATGTCTCTTTTGATGTCGCTTTCTCATTTGCCATCTAATTTCTTATGAAATAATGTGTGGTAGTCAGAGCTATTTTTTGTTTGCATGCACAAAATATTTGTTTTTATTTGATATTTTAAATTAGAATTTTTGGGAAAAATAGTCGAATCTTAACTTTACTTTAGGGATTTTATCTTTTTCATAATTGATCTAGCATTTAGGGTTAAAACAAATTAGAGCTTTTTGCATATTAAAATATTTTTATCTCCCACTATGATAAAATTATGGCTTTTAAGGTTAAAGTGTATCTGACTTGGCCTTTTTTTTTATAGGTTTCAATGGCGGTATATGTAAAATTACAGTTTCATCATCTAGGGTGGTTATTGGCTAACCCATTTATGAGGTATATAAATGGGCAAATTTAGCCAGTTATTCTTCAGGCTGACATTGATGAATTACATATAATTCATTCTAATGATTGGGCTAAGGATATGTGGTACTTAATAGTAGATAAATATGCATGTAAAAACTAACAAAAAAGGAGAATTTCGATTTCTGAAATATGATAACGATGTATTAGCTTTGTGTAAAGTCCTTAAGGATGGAGATTTTGTTGATGTGTATCCATGTCATACAATTAATATACCATATATTAATTTGGACCTAGATGAAATATTGAGTATTGGTGGTATAAATGTGGACCCCACTAATGTTCAATCATATGGCTTTAATGAAACACCACATGGGCAAAGAAGTGATGTTAATGCTAGGGCAACACATGTAGATCATGGCAGCTCAAAAGAATACCATGCTCTCATGCAATATGTGCAATATCTTTTAGGAAATTTGAGCTTGCTGACTATGTTGTTCACTAGTACAAGAAAGAAACATACTTGAAGGTTTTCAGTTGTTACATACAACCAGTAACCAATATGGAGATGTATCCATCAACTTTGAATCTCACTGTTGAGCCTCTTGTAATTACTAAGATGCTTGGTAGACCTAAGAAAAATAGAAGAAAAGCTCAGGATGAACCTAAAAAGAAGTTTGGTAAGAGATCAAGGAAAGGGACACCAATGACATGCTCTCATTGTAAGACAGTAGGTCATAATAAGAAGGGGTGTCCTATCGTGGTAAATGTTTAGATAATGCATTCATTTATTTTCTGTTTGTGACTTGTATTTTGTTTGTTTCTATAACTCTTTTTTCAGAAATTTCAGAAAGGACAAGGATCTGGAACTGCTAGTACCAGAAATGCTAATGCTACTCAAGGAACAACTCAACCATCAGCTGCTACAAGTGGTTCTGGAATTGCTGGTACCAGAAATACTCAGACTATTCAGGCTGCTCAAAGAACAACTCAACCATCAACCGTTATAAGTGGATCTAGAACTACTGATACCACAAATACTGAACCATCTCAGGCTGCAAGTGGATATGGAACTGCTGCTACTAGAAATACTCAACCATCAACTGTTGCAAGTGCATCTGTAAGTATTCATTTTTACTTTAATTAAGTTGTATTAGGACCATTATTTTTACATTATTAGATAGTACTTTATCCTATATTTGGATACTGGAAGTATGAGATCAAGGACTTCTGAGAATATTCTATCTAGTGTTAGAGGAAGGCCAAGAGCTACTTGACTTCGAGGAAGACCAAGAATTGCTGGATTTAGTATCTTTTTTAGTGATTCAGGGACAATGATAGAAATGGTAAGTGATTTGGATTTAGAGTTTTATTTAGGTATTAGTATTTTGGGTACTAATTTGACTTTCTATGCAATGTGGATCAAGAGATAGAGTACTTTTTGCCCCTACAAAAATAGTGGATGTTGGGTATATCAATATTGATCTTGGATATAGTGCACCTGGACTAAGATGGCAAGGAAGAAATGCTATAACACAAAGGCAACTTCAACAACAGTTGAGGAGAAGACAAACTCAAGTAAGCATTAGCCAATCTCAAGTCCATTCCTCATCTCAACCAAGCTAGTCTCCATGTCCCCATTTGAGCCATCTCAGCAAAACATCAACCTCTCAAACCATAATGATCTGCTGAATGTTTGTTTTTGTGATAGCTTAAGTCTGTTAGTTGCAGAACTTAATTTGTAGGTTAACTAAGGATGTTTAAGTATGACTTTTATTTTGGCACAATGTTTAAAGTGTTTATGCTACGAGATAACTTTCAGTAGCTAATTTTGTAAACAAGAAGGCTGATCGAACTTGATTGTTTATATGTGTCTGCTTGTTTATGTCAAACATTGCTTTTCCTCCACAAAAATTCATTATACAATTTGTTATTATCATTGTACATAGGGTTATGACGAAAATTACAATGATTACTGCTAACTAGACTAAGAAGAAAATTACAATGATTAGTGTTAATACAACAACTAAAGTTACAGAGATATTCACCCTCTTCCTAAGCTGTGATCTCTCTCTCTCTAATTCTTGATAACAACCCTGAAAATCGCTTGTTTGTAGTGATCTGGAAGAGGTGGGTCAAACCACCTAAAAAAATTACACGAATTGTTTCGACCATAATTTAAGTACCTATAAAACCTTCTTCCTCGATTTGTTGGCTTCCAAGTGATGCAAAACTAATTAGCTTCAACTCCACAATGATAAAATATAGGACTTTGTATCATTTTCACGGTCTGGGAAAAGAAAATAAAAATAAATAGAGCTTCATATTTCAGAAAAATGGAGGAATAATATATTTTACAAGGAATGAATAAGAACCCACTTAAATACAATCCATTTTGGATCGTTGGGCGTTGGGAATAGGGCTTTCACACTCCTCTGCGTCGTGTTCCTCATGCAGCAGGCTGACTAGGACCAACTGACGCCACATGGGCATGGTCAATGGTCAAATGTGTTTATTAGTTAAAGAATAATGAGTTCGAGTGTTCAAATGGAAAAATTTAAAGTTCATGTATCGACTTTCAAATGCCCTACAAGTTTAAGTAGCCAAAAAATCATTCCGCCTAAATTATATTCCCCAAACTTATGTATTTGAATGAAAAAAAAATATGTATGAAAATTGTGATGTTTGTGAGGTTATGTATTTTCGAGTTGAGGATGAGAGTTATACACAAATGTAAATAAACTATTGGTCCATTTAATTATTATGGATTTTGTGGGCCCTCGTAAAAAGTATGGACCTCTGAAATGTTACATTCTCCTTCCGCATCCACATATTCTCCTTCTCTCTTCCATTTCTCTCACTAGTCTCTCTGTCAACACAATTTTCACATTCTTGAAACACAAAGAAACAAAGAGAAGGAGAAAAGTATATGGTTGTGAAATGTTTAAGGGGAATAGAATATAGTAGAGAGAAGGAAAGAGGATGAGTTTGTCATGCAATCCATGGCCAGTCACCATTACTATTCTGCACTTTCTTCATCCTCTCCAAACAGAGACCATTTCCCTTCTTCATCAAATTGTTTTTACATTTATAATTGTCAAGTAAAGCATTCAACAACTCCTGCTGTCCTGCAGATTTCTTCTTTTAGTGACAGGAAACCCCCTTACAATACCCTTGTCTTCCAGGTTCTTCTTTGTCTCTTTTTTATTTTGGTGAACATGTTGTAAGTCATAATTGTGCGGTTTTCTTGATGTGAATTTTTTCCCTTTGTGTGATAAATTCTGTAGATTGTGTAGTGTTCTGCCTATTGGAAGTGGGAATTGAATATTTTACTGAGGAACTTGTACAATTTGCTCAATTATGTAGATTCACTTTTTACGATTTATAGAATGTTATATGAGTATTCATGGATATGAATTCATCGTATTTTATGTTAATTTGTTTTAATGTTGCTGCACTGTTCTTTTTAATTATTTATTAGGCATAGACCCCGACTCGTATATTATCAAAAAGAACTAGTACACGGAGGCGGACATAGACCATAACCTCCAGAACATGGCGAAGAATGACATAAATCATCCTTGTGAACAACAAATGCCAAGAACTCTGCCTAAGTTGGAAGATTGCCTCCATAACAATTTGACAATTAAGCTCTAAACTACAGGATACTATGCCTATCGTTAGCAGCACTATACAATGTACAAAATTATGTAGAATTAGCATCATTAATAACAAAATGGTTCTTCATTGGCTTAAATCTGAAATTTGGGCTGCCATCTTGATCCAGCTTCAATAAGGATTGCACTGTATCCGGTAAAGAACTGGTATCAGCAATTATAATCTGACCCCTTATTGATTCTCCCATATTAGCTAGTTGATCAGCCACTGTGTTTCACTCTCTGAAAGTAAGGACAAAAACGAAAACCTTTGCTAGAGAGTTGAACAATCTGGTCTATAATCATGTCAATAATCAATTTGGGATCGGATTCCCACCTTCACATTGAGAAAACCTCTATCGTGCAGAAATTTGTTCCATGTTTCAAAGCTATAACCTCAGCCATATTATTACTACATTTACCATAGGTTTCAGCATATGCAAAAATAAAGCATTTAAGGTTGTCTCTGATGACACCACCTACGCCAGCACTTCCTGAATTTCCTTTACGGCAACCATCTGTGTTTAGCTTCAGCCATCCAGAGTCAGGTTTCATCCATCTTATCATTTTGCTGCTGATACTTTGTTTTGCCTTTCTCCACTACATTACACAATTCAAGCATCCAAAGGCAGTTGCATTTTAGGAAATAGACTGACTAGGAGCATGGTCATGGTTCTCCATACCTATATAATAATGAATTTACCAGACATGTGTACCTTCTCAAATCTAGCAGAACACCTGCTTTTCCATATTTCCCAACATATAATTGAAGGTAGGAATTGGAGCAGAGCAGCATGAATTCCATTCTTTGCCTTAGATAACCAACATGACACGAGTAGTTGTCGAGTATTTCCAGGCCTGACTGTAATGCCACCACTCTTACTAAAAAGGACCAAACATGAGTTGCAATATGGCTTTCAGAGAAAAGGTGAGTGACTGTTTCTTCCTTGTGATTATTACAACATGAGCACTTAGAACTGTTCGTCCTGGAGGAGTACCGAAGAACTTTCTTTCATCCCAGCGCACCAATTGATCAAGCCCTCTTGAGTAAGGGCTCTTGAGTTAGAGAACCATACAGAACTTCTGTACATTCTCATCAGTTGGAATCCTATTCTGTAACATTTTAAGCATAAAGAAAGAGATTTTGAATGGGAGTTTCTTATGCCAAATCATAGAAGCTGTGAAGGAGTTATTCCTTCGTCTCCTCAGGTTTTGCCAAGTAGATTTGCAGTAAAAGTACCCTGATTAGCAATACTCCAAATTGGCCAATCATCCGTTCCACCATAAAAGCAAAGAGAAGGCTTGACAACTATATCTTCATTACTGAAAAACATAGGAGATCCTTTTACATTATTCATTACATTCATATGCACAATTACATTATTTATTACATTCCTCTGCATGTTTGGCAGTCTCATCTTCCTTCTTCTCCTCATAAACTTTCTGTATTTTGGGTGTGCCTACTGAGACGATCATTTCTGAAGTAGATGTTACAGATGATGAATCAATTTCTTTTATATGTATGTCACTTTATCTTTGTAGTGTTGTCTGTCTATAGTGAAAATGAATCAAAAACTTTTCATTCAACTTGATAAACCTCGGCTTATCAAATGGGGATGATCAATCATGACAACTATGTTGCAAAACTCAAAATATTGACTTTGAGTTCTTAATTTAAATAATTACTTTTTTTTGGTCTGACGTCCAGGCTGTTAGGCTCTTGGGTCCTCCAGCAAGATTTGAAGCATCAAAGTTGGAAGTCTTGTTAAAAGGAGAAGAAGTTGATACATACTCCACTATTGTGCCACGGACATATACCCTCTCCCATTGTGATTTTACTGCTAATCTCACATTAACCATCTCAAATAATATCCAATACGATCAGGTATGACATTTTGCATTTCTGAACGAGCAAGTGCTTATCCTTAAGCTGTGTCTGGTTTTGAACTTTGTTTTGAAATTTTTGTAATTTGATTTCAATTCTTGTGCCACATTTTCGATGGCAGTTGAAAGGGTGGTATAATAAGGATGATGTGGTTGCTGAATGGACAGAAGTGAAAGGCAATTTGTTTCTTGACATCCACTGTTATGTCAGTGGACCAAATCCCTTACAAGAGCTGGCTGCCGAGTTCAGATACCATATATTCTCCAAGGAACTGCCACTGGTAATTTCTTAAAATACTTGTGCCCCCCTTTATGTGCTTAGAGACCAAAGCCCTCGATAAATGCTTTATATGCTTTTTACCGGGACAAAAGAAAGAAAAGTTTGATTAGAAAAGCGTTTTCCAAGAAATGTGAAATTTGATTAGCATATAGCTGCATTAAGTTGCAACCTGCAAGTCACATTGATAAAACTTATAATATCTGCTCAGAAAATATAGCTCAGGACACTGACGAAATAAAGAGGAGGTTATGTACCTCCTGTCCAAGATTATTTTACTGGATCAAATATTAACTCCAGAATATTGCATGGTAAGTGTACATAGGGACGGACAGATACCTCAACTTCAAGATTAAAAGTATTCTGGTAATGCCTTAGTCTTTAGCAGAGGGTTCCCTCTCTGTCCAAGGTAATGTAACAAATGCCGTAACTGAAAGTTATTACAATGATGTTAGGCTCATATTGCCTATATGAAGTTATCCAAACAACTAAATTAATGAGCTAAAGAAACTGCTCCTCTACCAGTTATGTATTTCTATTTCTCAAATTTTCCTCCTCTTGAATTTACTATTTGGAATTTCCTTTGACACTGTAACTGTTCCAGTGTACAACTACTTCTAGTATATTGCTGCCAGTTGGATGAGCTTAAGGACTTCTTTTTCATTCCACTGTGGAACTTTAATTTGGTTTTTACCTCTAATCTCGTCTACAGTTTGCTTACTCTCTTAATTAGTATCATAATTGATTGCGTTTCTGAACTGCCAGGTACTTGAGGCTGTGCTCTATGGGGATTCAGATTTCTTCAAGGAGCATGAAGAACTAATGAATGCTATTGTTCGAGTCTATTTCCATTCTAGCTCGAAGAAGTACAATCGTGTAGAATGCTGGGGTCCTCTAAAAGATGCTGCTAAGGTAGCATAGAATTATGACAATGTCATCCCTAACTCCCTCAAACTTGTTTGTCTGTACGATCCAATTTTAATAGATCAAAAGCGATTATGATCTTTCTGCACACCAACTCTAACCTTTTATGTGATAATCATTTTCAAGTTCTATAATGTGTGATTTATAGTACTTGTTGTATAGTTTCAAGATATTCAGCTTTATTGTTAAAGAAAGATTTATAATACCGGTGTCTGAAGTCAACAAAACTGTATTAAAACTTATTCTTTGGATTTTATACAACTTATTCGTGTTTTCCAGGGAAGACAAGGGGATCATATCAACAGTTTGTTATCGACAAGCAAGGGAGATTTTCACCCGCCAAAAATCCTAAGTGCAAAATCAATCTTTCAAGCTCTTTTCACCTTCCTTCTCTAAGGTGAGAAGGGTTCATGGATTTTGGAAGGATCTCTGTTGAAACACATTTTAGAGTCATGGGATCCTACATTCCAATGACTTGTAAAGACAAGAATTGTTTGCAAGGTCATTTTGATTCTTTTGTATGTATTGCATTCTTTCGAATGAGATCTTGACTGACAATTCTTGTAAAACCAATGACTATTTTCTCTTTTACATATCGATATCTATTGTGTCTGAATATAGGTTGCCCCTTTTCACCCTATTACTTGGGAGTTGGGATTGAATGTCCACTTATTATTCTGAAAATTTTAGTTTCTATACACAAACTGCTTGATTACTCAAACAGTCAAATATGAGATTTGAGCTTAGTTATAAGATGATATTTTCTTCTTCTCTTTTGCTTTCTTCCTTTCCCCTTTGTTGGAGAAGAAGGGAAAAAGGAGTACAAGTTCACCTTTCTTAATCTTTGTACTTTTGAATGATCTGGTATCTGATTATTAGAGTACACTAGAATGACTCCTGTTTAGTCATTGGCAATAGAATGAACTCATATCCTTATTGCCTTATGGTCTATCTAAGATTTTGCTTGGTAATATTCTTCATAGGAGCCCACTCCTGTCTTTTTGTGCCCTCTCAACTTGCTCTCTTAGGAAGAAAATGAGGATGAAAAGCAAAAGCAAAAAGAATTTAAGTTATATACAATCACAGTGCAAAAAACATGACACCATCAATGCAATTTAACAAGTGATAGGTCACTTATCTATTTTTCAGGTTACCATTTCAAGGTTGGTACGAGGAATTACCTATTATTAGAGGTCAACTTTTGATGGTGTAAAAAATCTATAAACGACTCCATTATAAACTTAAGATAGCCAAGTTTGTAAATAAATTTGAGCCTAGGAAACAAATATGCAACTTGATACCCTAAACCTGAAGGTTGGTGCCTCCATAATACATAATATATAGAAGTGAAAGCAGCTTAGTTGAAAATTTTCACTGTTCTATTTCTAAAAATACTACACAGTAATCCAAACAATCCTCATTACCCACTTTTTTCAGCATTTCCCTCTATAACATGAACGAAACTATTGAAGTCAATGAAATCAAGATCCTAGAAATCTCAAATATAGAAGCTATTCTTGAGCTTTGTTCCCAATGGCACTAGAATATGCACATACAAAAAAAGGAAAAGAAAATTCAACTTAGAATCATGCAGTGGCAAAATAGATAAAAGAAAACAATTATCCACCCATATTATCCATTGAAAAATGGGTTGGATAATGAACTTTTTAAAAACGTGTCAAATATGGATAAAAATCATATTATCCACTTAGAAAATAGATAATCAATGGATAACTAATGAGTTTAACTTCTACCTTACTAAATCCTCAAATGGGGGGTTCCTCAAGTTTGGAAAACTAGGAAGTGATCATATTCAAGAAGTCATGGATATATCCGCCGATTAACCCATTTTTATATGTATTAAATATGGGTCGAGTCGAATAATTTATCCGTGTTTGCATTACCTGTGTTTGACCGGCCCATATCCGACCCGACCTCATTTGCCACCCCTACCTGCAACTATTGATAAACAACACTGGCTGGTAATTGAGGAGTTCTGTAGGCTTTTTAATTTATAGGGTTTAGTTCCTACAGAATTTGAGCTCGCATTCTCTCTAAGTAATATTGGCTCGAAATATTTCGACCCCCAAACATGCCCTAATTGTGGTTTTGAACATGTTGTGAATGTACTTGCATGGAATTTGAATTGTTAGAAATGAAGCTAATTGTTGAGATGAAGTGAAATTGGAAATGATAGGTATCTGAAATGCGCCGATAGAGTAACTACAGAAGCGTCATCATGTCGTAGTACATTTTATATGTCAGTATTATTTTTGAGATATTTTATATGACATTATTATTTTTTGAGATAAAATGACTTTTTTTTACTATGATTTTACGTATTTTTAATTACTTGTTACTGTAAAAATTCTAAATTCATAATACTCACGAAAAAGGTAAGGGAAACTGCCAGTTATGTCCATTTATAAGTAGTTTATTATAAAAATTGGTCAATTCATAAAATATTACTAAATATTATCTTTATTAGCCAATTAGCTATTTATAGCAAAAAAAAAAGTCAAATTTTTGCTTCCTTATGAGTGAGTGTTATTAGAATAGATTGGATACATCTTAAGGAGCTTAAATCTCAGCTTTTGGATGATTTAGTGGAGTTTTGGGGTGTATTTGGTACAACGAAAAATATTTTACGTAGAAAATGTTTTCCAAGAAAATGTTTTCTTGGAAAACAAGTACTCCCTCAGTTCCAATTTATGTGAACCTGTTTGACTAGGCACGATGTTTAAGAAAAAATAAAAGCTTTTGGAATTTGTGGTCTTAAACAAGTTGTGTGGCTATAAAAGCTTCTCATTAAGGATAGAATGGGAAGTTTAGCTAAATTATTTTCAAATTTAGAAATGAGTCATTCTTTTTGGAACATACCAAATAGGAAATAGGTTCACATAAACAAGAACGGAGGGAGTAGTAATCTTATTCATTTTTCGGTGTTTGGTATGCAAATTAAGGAAATAACTTCTCAAGAGTATTCATAAATAATTTAGATACAATAAATATGAAGCCATAAACTTTCGAACCAACTGTTAGTATACTGTATTTGTAAAATAATTCTGGAGAATATAAAAATAACATATAAATAGAAATGAAAAACAAAAACACAATTTAATCCGAGTCCACTGAATTCACAGTGTTTCCTTAAGGAATTTAATCCCCTCCTAGTACTCAAGGTTGTGGATTATTTCCTCCTAGGATAGAACGAATTACACACTGGTGTAGCGGTACTTCAAACCCCAGTGTTTTAGCAAACACAAAGATCAGTAGCAAATCACACTTACTGTTGCTTAGTAGTTAAAACAATGCAGAAGAAAGGAGGAGAACTCAGAAATTCGTATGGAAAATCTGAGAGAATGATCTGATATATATAGCCAATATGTTGTGACTCTTCAGAAGGGCTATCATGACCGTTTAAGCAAAACGGCCATAATGGAAATGGCTATTTACGCAATAATAAAATAGGAATTCAAACCTTATTCTTCCATTACAAAAATGAAAAACGGACGGGAAGGGAACTTAATTTTCCGTTACAAAAAATGGAAACCGGACGTTGAGGAAACGGATAATTTGGATTTAATATTAATTTTCCGTTTGCAAAACCGTATATTTACTAATATTACGTTAATATTTACTATTAACAAATAAATTTGGTCCAAAAATTAACCAATTAATCATTTGACCAAATCCAAATTCGAAGCCAAAGCCGAGCCGAGCCGAGCGAGCGACGACGATGACGGCGCGAGGCTTGCCTTCTTCTTAACTCTTTAAGAGCTACAAGAAGAGCAATTGTATATATATACCCATCAAAAACCCGTAGATAACACTTCACACTTACATAGGTGATTCCTAAACGTGTTATCCCGTAGATACACTATTTGATATACCCCGTATCAAATTTAGAAATCATTAAAAAGCATTAATGCTTTATCATTGGTAGTGAACATTGTCTCATCACGAGAATGGACCAAAATTTTAGTTGACAATGTTGAACCATCATTAATGACTTTGTTTGATCTCCTCGAACCTAGATCTTGGGATCTCCATTCTTCTAGGTAGAGTTACCGCCACAATGACTTGTTCTCGGCCATAGTCCTATTCCCCTCGATGATTTTCTCAACACCTCTCTAGTTAGGCTTTTTGTTAGTGGATCCGACGCATTATCACTTGACTTTATGTAGTCAATCGTGATAATTCCTCTAGAGAGTAGTTGCTGTAGACATGTGATTTTTGATCCTCCCCGAGATTTTTTATATATTAGCGTAAAATATTTAATTTAGGCATAATATAGATATTTTAAATAATTTTGACTCTTTTACTTTATTTTATTACAAGAAAACAAAAATCAAAAAAATAGGTTCATTAATGTTTTGTAGTCATTTTTAATCTTAAAAATATCCTAAAAAAAATATATAAAAATAGTATCGTATTTTTATTTTAATATGATATTTGAAAATGCCAAAAATAGGTTGGTTTTAATGGTTAGTTTTATTTTAGTAATTATTTGAATAGTAGGATTAATTAATAAATGGGCCCGTATTTTTAATCTCGTTCTTAGCGAAAGAATAAAGTTTGGGCTCGAGCAACCCATTTTTAGGCCTAATTTTTTACATAGCCCATAATTTTCAAGCCCATAATTCCTAGGCTCATACCCCCTAACCTAAAAAAGCCCTAAAACCCTAAACCTATAAAAAGAAGCTACCTAATATACACACACAAAAAAAAAGCTGAAAAACGCAAAAAAATAAATAAGAGAAAGCTACGCATGACCTAAAGAAAAGAGGCTGAAAACGAAAAGAAGCAGCAGCTGAAAAGCTGCGCAGCAGAACGACCCCTCCCNCTCCGTCTTCCAAAATTAGAAAACAAAACAACCCTAGGAGAGATCCAACTCGTCTTCCTCACCATAACTCCGGCGACCAAGCGTACACAGTAGCCCAGGTCTCCGTCTCTCACCGAACCCGACCAGCTCGCTGGAAATCCGGCGACAATTCTTCGAAACAGTCGCGATTCCACCAGTGAAGTCCTCCATTCCAACGCCTAGCTCCCATACGCCATGAAATCTCTCACCTTTAGCTGCCATTTACGTCATCCCGAACTCCATTCTTATCAGCAAAGAAGTTCTGAAACATGCAGTCTTCAGTAAACAGAGGTCGTCGTTCGAGTCACTTGAGGTTCGAGATTTCCGTCGTGGTTTCCTGCTCACGGCCTGTTTGTTTTCAACCTCATTGCTGTTTTCTTTTTGCAAACAGTTGGAAGATCTCTGATTCTGAAAGTTATAAAAAGGTCCCTTCTTTATACTCCTCTTATTCCATATCATTTTTCAAATATAGTGGTTGACCTTGGTGAGCTGTTGTTCTTCGGTGTTAGCTTGTCTTTGTTTGTCGCCTTAATTAATAATCTGCTTCCTCGATGATATATGATTCCTTGTTTTTACTTGCTTTACGAGTTCATTAAAATATGTTGGATGGTTCATCTTTTGATGCTTGGAATTAAATCATGTTTTTATACAATTGTTACCTTGGCGCAATGATCTGATTATAATATGGACGGTAAATTTGCTTAGCTAGTTCAAATGAATTTAAGTGATGAGATTGAATGTAAGACGATGATGATATGACTGATTTTAAGTCTACTAAATTATGTACTAATTCGTTTTGGGCTGCCTCATTTGCTAGAGTATTGGACTGTTGGTTTAAGTGCCAGACAATAAGAAGGATTGGTCATTTAAAGATGGTTTGGGCTTCGGGGATATATATTCGAGTCTGGTTGATATAATTGTCAATGGTTTAAAACATATCTGGGCTCCTAGACTAGACAACTTAATAAAGGCTAGCCTATTTCCCCTATAGTCCATAGATGTTCATGCATGCTCTAAAAATGTTGGTAAATTTAATATCTCCAAAATACTTTATTCATCCATAAGATCGTGGCCTCATAATAATTAATCGCTAGTGTGCTTTGGACACGTATTTAAAAAAAATTACTATCGTGATTGTGGACACGTTCGCGTGACATGATTACGATTTTTAAAAATAAATTCGGAGTATGCGTTCGTGCAACTTCGGCCAAACTTTTCTTAATAACAATGAAGCGTTACTAATTGTGGACACGTCCGCGTGACATGATTTTTGACGCGCTTAACAAATGAGTACACGTACGTGTGACTCTCTTTAGGTTAATTTCTTAATTAAAAAGCGGTAAAAGGTAAAAGCACATAGATTCTAAATTCAGTAATTCAACAATTTAGTCAAGCCAAGTATAATCAAAGTGACCGTGCTAGAACCACGGAACTCGGGAGTGCCTAACACCTTCTTCCGGACTAACAGAATTCCTTACTCAGATTTCTGGTTCGCGGACTATAATACAGAGTCAAGTTTTCCTCGATTTGGGATTTGAAACCTGTGACTTGGGACACCATAAATTATCCCAAGTGGCGACTATGAATGTTAAATAAATAATCTCGTTTCGACTGTCACTTAAATTAAAAAAAAAAACTCCCTTATACTCCCTTCCGGGATGTAGGAAAAAGGAGGTGTGACAGCTCTGGCGACTCTGCTGGGGAATCGAACCCAGAATCTCTGGTTCAGGGTTTAAGAATTCGAGCTTGTTAATATGATTTTGCTTGGTTTTATTTATTGTTTATATTACTATATTCTGTGAACCTTTTGCGCTAAATGCTATATGTTTACCGCTTTAATATTGTTTGAATTGTATATAACTGTCTTCTTACGCCGCCCTTCTGAGTCTTCTGAAAATGGTGCATACGTTCGCGTAGCCCGCTTTTTTGTAGAAATTATACCAAATAGAACGAGGCTGGGCAAGCGACAAGGCCGGGTAGATTTCAGTGCTCCCGGTACCTCGCCCCCTCTTCGGCCCCAGTTGTCCGCTCGGGTACCCCAAGTCTAGAACAAAACCCCAGGATTTAAACCTAGAAGAACACAACCTCATGTCGGATCCCTAGTAGGAACGTTTGTTTGCATCACGTGCATTTGACTTAGGGGACTCAACACAGGGGTTGGGTCCATCTAGGAAAGGTGTACCCAAAATAACAGACCATCTCGATGCATCCTGTGTGCTACATGTTGCATTCCTTCAAGGGTAAAAGGGTCATTTGGCGGACCAATGATAACTGAGGGCGAATGAAAAAAAAAGGAAGAAAAATAAAAGGAAAAAAAAGAAAGGGTGACGTGTGAGGATAAAGAGAGTAAGGCCCAATTATGTTTTATGTTACATTTTTGTTAAAAAACAAGAGCTTGAAAATTGAAAAGATTTTGCACTTTTTATCATTTTTCAAAAATCAAAAAAAATCCAAAAAAAAAAAGAAAGAAAATCCAAAAAGATTTTATATGTTTCATCATTGTTTGAAAAAAAAGGAAAAAATGTATTTTATATATGTTAGTTGTTTTTATTATTCTCGTTCGTATCCAATCTGCCCGAATTACGCATACCTGATTCTCGTCTTTCGGGGCGTGATACGTAGGCAACCCACATAGGGCCTGGTCTTCCTAGTAAATCTTAGATTCTTGGCTTTGCGGGGTCTTAGACAAATTTTGTACTTCTAGCCATCTTTTGGCCAAATAAGCCATTTTGCAAAAAATAGCCTAAATCATGTCTTGCTTGTTTCCAACATAAAGGGGTTTTGTCTCACATAGCGTTCTAGGCCTTTAACCTATTTGGTTTTAATTTTCTCATACAGGTGTGGATTTATTTACCGGAGTTTGAACATGACAGATACCCCAGGATCACTACATTCGGGAGTTGCCTGAGGAGTTTTTTTTTTTATGATTTAGAGTCTTTTGTTCATGTTTTACTTTCTAGTCTTGTACAGTAGTATTCAGTCATTTAGTTAATTTTTGAGTTTGTAATAGTCTAGTTAAATTTGCCGAGTGTTTTGTTATTGTATTTGGAAATGTGTTACAAGTCAAAAATCCAAAAAAAAGAGATGTTGCATTTTATATTTCCGTTATAAATTTTATTTAGATTACTAATTCTAGAAATGGAAAAAAGAAAAAATTTTGAGGTTATTTTTCCTTTAGGCAATTAATATCTAGGACATAAAATGAATTGTTTTTATGTTTCCTTTAGTATATTATGACCAAAATTCAAAAGAAAAAGAGAATTTTCTTTTAGTACTTTAAAAGCTTTCTTTAAGGTGTTAATTCCAAAATCCAAAATGATTTTCCTTTGAGGTGTTTTTTGGGAAATTAGTGACAAATAAAAACAAAATCTTTTATTTTCATTAGAACTTTAGGATATTGTACGTAGAAAAAAATATACTTTATCTTTTGTTTATCATTAAAATTCCTTCTTTAGGCAATCAAAATTGAAATCCAAAAACATTTTGTTTTATTTTTTTCATTGCTTGTGTCGAAATCTTGCATCAGGATATCAAATAAAAATTCAAATATATTTTTTTGTGGTTTATTCTTTAGATTTTCTTCCTAAAAATGAAAAGGATAATAAAAAAAATTGTAAAAATAAAATATTTTTCTCTTGTAGGATTTTTTCTTAATAGAGTATTTGTCACTTGTGGGATTATACTGGGTCGTTGTTGTTGTTGTTGTTGTAGAGTATTTGTTTCAAAAGGAAAAAAAAGAAAAGAAAAACATGCCCGTTAAACTTGAGTTTAGAATAGGTTATAGAGCGTTCAGTCTAGAAAATTCAAAAAAAAAGAAATTCGCTTCTTTTATTTCTCTTTTCCCATCGGATTAGTCATTAAGGTAAAAAGGAAAAAAGAAGAAGAAAATGAAAAAGAAAATGTTAGTTTGTTTACTTTATTCCCGATCTTCCAAAACTACGCAAAGATGTGATTCATGCAGCGTCATGATACGTAGGCAACCTACATAGGCTTCGATCGAATCATTTTGTTATTATTATTAAAAGAAAAAGAAAAAAAGAAAAAAGGGGAAACGAAAAAAAGAGGCGAAATTGTGGGATGTGAGATGTGAGATATGAGAGAAAGAAAGAGTGATGAAAAAAAAGGAAAAAAAAAAAGAAAGAGAAATGAAGGAAAATGGGCAAGCCAACAAGTACCAGAAAAACAAAGAAAAGCGAGGTTGAAATGAACAAATTGGGATGATGCCAATTGACCTTTGTACCCTCGAAGTCATTTTAGAACCGATAACTGTGGCTAGGTGCATTGCACATAAAGTGAGAATATCTTATGTTAAATGCCCTAACGCTAACATGATGGCTTCATTTTGTTATATTCATAGCAGAAAGGTGGTTGATTTGTGGTTTTTAAAGTGGTAACTCTTCTCTACAACACAAAGTCAAGAGGCAATGGCAGACAACAACAGAACTGAGTTGGTTGATACCGGTGCCCGAAAGCAGTTGGTTGAACAGGACAATGGGTTGGTTGAAGAGGTAAAGATGTTAAGACAACACATGGTGGACATGTATCATGCTTGGATGACTGGGAAGGCACCACCCCCGCCACCTCCTAGCTTCATAAATGTTACCCTTACCCAAATAATCCCCGTCACAGTGCCAGATGATCCATCATACTCTCCAGATCCACTCGCTTATCGTGGCATTCCCAACCACCCTAGTAGCTCCGTCACTCATCTTCCAATTACCTTTCCCAAAAATTGCCCTCATGTCACATCTACTATCCCCGACAATGAATACTCATTCAAAGCTCATAATGCCGAATATTATCCCTCGGAGGTTGCCCACAAGGTTCATAACTCATACAAGCAGGGTCCGCGGGATGGGCCTCATATTGTAAATGAAGAGTTCACAGGAAGAAAAGGGCGAGATGGGATACCCAGGAGGCCGAAAGGCATATAACAGTCTTTAAAGAACAAGCAAGGAATGGGAGACCAGGGTAGCATGTCTTACAAAGAATTGTCTATGTCCCCCGACGTTCGTCTACCTGCGGGGTTTAAAGTGCCAAAGTTTAACTTATATGATGGGTGTGGGGATCCGGTAGCCCATTTAAGGGATTATTGCAGTAAAATGAGAAGTGTTGGCGAGAAAGATGATTTTTTGATGGCGTACTTCAGTGAGAGCCTGACTGGGGCAGCTTTGGAATGACATAATCGTCAAGATGTTGGTAAGTGGCCTACATTGGGTGACATGGCTCAAGATTTTGTTTGATAATTTCAATACAGATCAGGTGTTGTCCAAGACCGCTCCTCCCTATCTCAAATGGAAAAGAAACCCAAGAAAAGTTTTAGGGATTTTTGGCTTAGATGGAACGAACAAATTGCTCAGAATAGTCCTCCCATTGATAGAAAATATGTTGGTGAGCCCCGCCGACGATAGGGTCCAGTGGTCGT